CACAGCAACTCATTGAGAGGCAGAAACAAACATGTCTGCTCTTAATAAACTCATATTTCTGTTCCTTCTCAGTATCACTATATAATCACTGCCTCTGATCACTTCCCTTTGCCGTTTTCAATAGGAGGGTGATTAGTGGTCATATTTAATGCATAAGTTCCCTGCAGGGCATTCTGGGTATTGGAGTACTCACGATGATCACAGCAGGAGACTAAGGCTGTGTCCCAATTCAGGGTCTGCAGCCTTAGAGTCCACAAGGGCCACGTACTCAAAGACCGCTAAAGCCGCAAGTGAAATGGGACGGTCTAGCCTATGTCGCGCTCCTCAGGTTGCCTAGCAACCATGACACCAACTGCTGGAAATGTTTCAAACAGCTTTGTTTGACAGAAATGAAGGAGAACATCTTTTGTTCATTTGTTTGTTTGTTTCTACACGAGCTTTGTGTGATTAGTTGAGTATCTGAGGCTGAGACCACAGGACTGTAAAACATGATTGTTGGGCTTCATTTCTGTGCTGAACAGTCATTTAAGATTAGCTAGTAAATAACAATTAGCTAATGTTGTTCATGAGAATAAGCCATATCACTGTGGTAATGTAAATATAATATGGACAATATTATATGTAGGGCTTGCAAAATTTCAAAATCTCTGGTAGCCCTTCGGGCAGGCATTCTTCAGTTTTTGGTAGCCCAAAATAAATTTAAGTAGCCCGAATAAAAAAGAGCATTTTTTTAATGTTTTTGTTTCCGTTACAATATTGTGACGGAAACAAAAATTAATCAAAAAATTGTTAAAATACAAATCACAACAACTGTATAAAAATTACAATCATCAACTCAAATACTTGGTTCTGATTGAACAGAAATTTCTATGAACCTGTAAGAACTGTAGAACATGAATGCTTTAAGTCACACAGAATAGATATCAGAGCCTTAAACAGGCTGACTTCTGCTAAATGGGTCAAACTGGGCAGAAAGTCTACAAACACATAACATCCTTATAGAATATGATGTAACACTCTAGATCAACTTAGCTCAGAATATATAAAGCGTATAAACAGTTACACAATATGATGCAACAAACACAGCAGTGCTACTGATCCAAAATACTCAAAGCTTCATAGAACTGAAACAAACATTTATTTTAGCTCCATTCTGCCGATCTCCATTATTAAACATTCACACATAAATAAGTGACATAATATTCAGTACTTACTTTTAAAAGTTTACTTTGCAGCCGCCCTGCTTCAGCCGTCCACTGTTTTTTTTTGTTGTTTTTTTTGGCAAAATTATCCACACCCACCACCGCGCTATGAAGTCTGGGATATGTTGGGCCATAAAGGATACACGACCCATCCTTAAAATTCAGGGAAACGAAGGACGCCTTTGAATCGTTGTGTCGCTGTGACGTAATCAGCCTTTAAGGCTGCAGACCCTGAATAGGGATACAACCGGTGCATGCAGGTTTCTTTAAACGGGAGGATTTTTGAATGGACTTTGGTGGAGAAAACTCAGCGCAGCGTCACGGTCTGTGTGCAGAGAGACTGATGGGAAATGTAGTTTGCACCAAAGTCTGAATCGGCTGATTGGAGACGATGTCTGTCTGTCTTTCAGAACGCTGTCTGATTGACTCCGCCCACCATGAACCCTCTAAACCAGATGAAGGCTGGACTAGCCAACAACCCACACAGGTACACACACACACACACACACACACACAGCTGTCATCTTTACTTTTACTCTAATATTTTTGTCCTGAAACAGTCGAGTCAGATTTCAGTGGATTCACTTTAAATCGATAAATCATGAATTTGACTCTGATCCCAAAAATCTACAAAATAAACTGACAAAAGGTTTTCAGCTCATAATTATACACATT